TTGGCCTAGGGCACCCCATTGGCACCAGTGAAGAGCCCCCCAGACTCTTCTTCCTGAGTATGCGAGTTGTCCTCCATATGATCCTCAGATGGGTGTCTGTGTGGACAATGGGGCCATCTGTCCACCCCCTTCATCCCTAGCATGTTGGCTGATCCCTTGCAACAGGGGTACCTTCTCTGCAGGAAAAATCCAGTTTCTAGGCTGAATCCAGTTGTGGCTCTGCGGGCTCCCTGAAGGTCCCTGTGCCTCGTCGGCCCGTGGGTGGCACACCCAGGCCCCTGGGGAGCTGAATTCCCAGCCGCCTCCTTCAGTCGCCTGCTGGCTGGGGCAGGAGGCTGCTTTTCTGTCTCTTCCTTACCTTCAGTTGGAGCAGAAATTCAGCTCGTCCCTAAACACTGGCGACACTGGTGGGCACAGAAGTGCCACCCGGGGTGCCTCGGTGACCTGAGACGCATCTCCTTGTAGTCTTTTCTTGGGGCGTGGGCACACTTGATGGTTTCCATGCTCGTTGTTTGCATCTTCTGTCTCTGGCCACATCCCTTGTTTGTAGCCTCTACTCCCTTGGAGTTGGGGTTCTGGTTTGTCCTTATTGATTTGCAAGCATACTTTCTAGATGAAGGGTGTCATTTTACTGCTGGATGTTACGAAGACCTGATGCAATGTGTCGATTGTTTTTTGGTTGTCTTTTTATCTTTTTCTCCCACTTTCTATTACGGAAAATTGCAAATGCACAGAAGTAGAGGGGCTAGTGTGTGCCCCTCACCAGCATCTGCCGTGATGAAGTCAAGGTCTAGAAGTAAAGTCACTGCCTGGCTTCCGTTGAAACGCTCACTGTGTATGTAACTATAAATGGTGTCACTTTAAAAGCCCAAACCAAAACACCATAACAACAGTCCATGACGCTGTTTTGGGAGGATGTACAGGAATGCTTCGTCCTCACAAAATTGAGCTGGTCTGTCTTTCCTTGGCAGTTTGTCTCACTGCTTTGAGGTTAAGAACAGCCTCCTCCTGCCCAGACACCCCAGGCCCTACGCTGACTTCCGAGCAGCACTGTGGTCCTGGCAGGGATGAACAGACAGGGACTCCGCCCTGTGTGAACTCCCCGGCCCAGGCCTCCTGCTCCGGCCTTGGCTCAGTGCCCTTCCTTGTGAGCTGGCCAGAAGCTATCCCTGCAGCTGTGGGTACCATCTGACCACAGGAGAGGTGACAGGGTAAATATGGGCCCCCATGAGGCCTGGTGGGCAGTGCTGGGAGCAGGTTCCCGTGCTGGCAGTGTTGAGGGTGGGGGACATGATGCCCTTCCAGGCAAAGCGGGCTTTGGATCACTAGGCCAGGGTTCTGCTTCTGCAGATGGCCAGGGGTGGGGGTAGAATTTGGGGTGGGAGGGCTGGCCAGTTCAACCAGTGGCCAGTCCTCTCTCCCCTCTTGGGGGACAACTGGCAGTGTGCCAACAGATGGCCAGCGAGGAGTCGGGACTGGAGCCCGGGCCTCCTCCCTGCCTCCCCCTGCCGGCCTGACCCTTAGGAAATTCCTCTAATTCCTCAACCCAGATTGGACTCAGGCCCCATAATTTGATTTTCTGGAGCAGGGTTTGGCTGGACTCCTTGTGAGGAAGAATGTCTGGGTCAGCAGGAAGACGTCAAATGTGGGTTTAGGTTTCAGAGGAAGGATCGGCGTCTCCCCCTAACTCCTCTGATGGTGCCTCTGTTTTCTGGATGGACCCAGAATGCTCAAGGTCCATGCTGCCTCTGCCCAGCAGTGCTTCAGAGCCTTGACCTTACCCACCTGTCCACCCACTCACCCATCCACCCACACCTACTTGCTCATTCCCCTGCCCATCTGACTCTCCACCCACCTCTCACCACCACCGCCCCCTCACACAACCACCTACTCCCCCTCTGTCTGCAGGTCCATTCACTGGTTCATTCATTTCCACTTCCATCAGCCTCCTGTCATTCCGTTCCTCCATCCACTCAGCAGTCTGTCTACCTGGGGTCACTCCTGGGATGTGCAGGCTCACTACCTTCACTCCTGCCTGGGACAGGTGAGGCTGGCTCTGCGCTGCACGTTCATTCCTGTCTGCTTGCTAAGTCCACTCCACGAGTGGACAGGTGATTGGACATGGGGAGAAGCAGCCTGCACCAGGCACTGCAAAGCCAGTGGCCGGGATCTGGGTGAGAGTGAGGTGTCTTCCTGACAGGCCGTGAGGGGCCCCTGCCAGGTGACTGGAAGCTGCAATGACACCGGCCAGAGAGGAGAGCAAGGGGCAGCTGAGACCTAAGCAAGCACCCGCTTTCCTGCCTGTCTCAGGCCCTTGTAGTCTGGTGCCCCCTCTCCCCAGGATTGGGCCTCTCCCTGATGCCCCTTTGGGGATGAAGCCTTTAAAGTCTCATGGTTAAAAAAAAAATAAAAAAAATAAAAAATAAAGTCTCATGGTTGATCTTAAAAATTCATGTACAACTTGCTTTCCATGTCATCACACATTTATTGTTTTCATATAAAAATAGCATTTTTGAGTTAGCATCCGCAAAGAGCTGCCTTCTGGAGCGGTGTGGTTTGGCTCACCTGTACCCACACGTGCTCGGACCCCAGAAGGCCACCATGTCAGGGGAGCAGGCTTAGGTCTTCCCTGCTTCCTAGATATGCCCCCAGCCAGCAGCCCGCCTCTTGCATATCCCAGGCCACCAAGGTGAGGAGGCTGTGGACTACAGGCCAATAGAGGGGTGCACCCTTGGGCTGGGGCGGAGAACATGGGCCCTAGCCCCAGAGTCTCTGCTCTTTGTGGAGGCTGCAGGGTACTCTTCTTCCAAGCTGGCTGGCATTTGGGGGGGGGGGGCGTCTCCTGGGAGACACATAGTTATTTAGCTCCAACTGAGAGAACTGGGCAATGGGAAGGTCATCGTGGGGTTTGGCTACCTTCTCACGGTAGCTGTTGATTTCTGGACCCCTGGCTGGCCCCCAGCCTGGGCAAGTGGGCCCCCTCTGCAGGAGGCTCCTTGGACCCCAGAGCTGGAACACACTGGAGGGCCCAGGGCAGGGAAGCTAGTGCTGCCCCTCCTCCCCCACTGTCCTCAAGGTCTGCAGCCTGGGCCTGGTCCTATTAGGAGCAGGGAATAGCAGCCTGAGGTCAGTCAGGAACCCATATCTCAGCACAAGGAAGGAGGAAAGGCACATCCTCGGCATGAGGCCCCCCGATGTCCTGATCACCACCTCCCAGGGCCTTGAGACCCATGCTGCCACCACAGGCTCCAGTGACCTGGCTCCACCCCCTGGCACACCTTGCCTGCCCTCCAGTGAGGAAGACCCCACCATGCCTACGTGGGGCCACCAGGTTCAGTCCATCCATGCGCAAGGCCAGTGTCTAGGTGGCACCAAGGGTTGGGCAGTGTGCATCTGGGACCTGTACCCAGGCAGCAGTGGGTGTGCGCAGGAGGCTGTGTTCCCACAGCCGTGGACATGCCATGCTGTTTGTCCTTTATTTCCTGCTGGCCAGAGAAGCCAGCTTCTACCTCACTTTCCTCCTCTCCTCCCCCATGATGGCCACCACCTCTCCTGGCCTGACAGGCTGATTTTGCTGCCCCTCTGCTAGGTCATACTGATAGTTTTATTTGTGTGACAGGTGCTGGGGAAGTGAGGCTTGGCTCCTGGGACCTGTGCTGGCCTCTTCCCGGAGCTGGGCCTTGGTTCCCCCAGCTTCACAGGGGGCTGGGCTCCATGGTGTCATCTTCATGTACACCCGTGCCCGCCAACCCTGTCCCTGGCTCAGCTGGTACCAGTGGCCAAGCCCAGCACCGACCCCTCCTTTCTAGGGCTCTGTTCTTGCAGCTGCCCCGCCTGGGCCAGTGAGCAGCAGAGTTGGCCCTCCAGGGGTGTTGCCCACTACGCTGTGTCTTTAAGCTGCTGTGTTGTGCAGGGCCACAGGGGCCAACAGCGTCAGCCACCACTGGCTGGCATGCGCCGGGCCAGGAGGAGGCCCCGAGCAGTTCTGGGCATCACACCACACCCCAGGTGCCTTAGCAGTGTGGCCACATGGGCTGCACCCTGCCTGCTGGCCAGCTGCTATGCACAGGTCTATGCTCCATATTCTTCTCCTGCTTCTTGCTCATGAAGAACAAAAGTGGTGGGCAGCCAGGGAGTAAGCAGCGAGGAGAGTGCTGGCTTGTGGTTGCAGCTGCCAAACCCCTGCTGCCACCACCCACCACCCTGGGGCCCTCAGGGGCAGCACTGGGCAGGGGCCCAGGTAGGCCTGACCCTCCCCACAGACTGCGCCTCAGACGCCTGGGACCCTGCCCTCCACCTTCCCTCCAGATGTGAAGCCCATGGGCCACTTCTGGGTACAGAATCTCAACCAGGCTGCACTTGGTGTTTACTCTGCTGTGTAGGTAGATAGCACCCTTGTTCCCAGGCAGTGTGGCTGTGAGTGGAGGCCCGACTGCTAGTCTGCAGGCCAGTGTCATCCCCTCACCTGCTTAGGCCTCCCACCCACCTGGCAGCTGTGGAGTGGCTTCTCTCTCCCTGCCCACTGGTGTATCAACTCCACCACATCAGCTGTATGGCTTCCACACTTTCTCTGGTCCCAGGCATCTGCCTCAGTGAGCTGGGCCTGTGCTGGCCCCATGCTGGGATGAACTGGCATGTGCTGTGGGCAGCAGAAGGCCTGGGACGTCTGAAAGGTGGTCACACCAGTTCTTCCTACCCTTCCCTTCCCAAAGGGCTTCAGGATGCCCACGGTTAGTGGTTCCGCTGGACCTGGCAGGAAGCAGGGCCTCCCGGCTCAGAGCCCCACACTCCATAGGGAGGGAGCCGGCTGCTTCCGGCTAGCCTTGGATTAATGGCTTTTAATTTAGAATTTAATCAATGCGGCTTCTCTCTGGAGAGCTGGATGCTCTGGTCTGGGAGTGAGTCGTATGATCTGTCGGTGGGGTGGGCATGGGGCCTATGATGGCCTCTTCAAGCCTGTGCCCCGGCCCCACCCTGACCTTGCTCTGCTTTGCCTGCAGCCTGTTGGCATCTTGGTCATGGAAGACTGCAACGTGCACTCGGCTGCCAGCATCCTGGCCTCAGTGAAAGAACAGGAGGCCCGCTTTGAGCGACTGACCCGAGCTCTGGAGCAGGAGCGGCGCCATGTTGCCCTGCAGTTGGAGCGTGCCCAGCAGCCTGGTATGGGCAGTGGTGGTGTGGGCAGTGGGCAGCCCCTACCAATGGCCTGGCAACAGCTGGTCCTGCAGGTAATACCCCAGTGACTCATCCGGAAGGGTGAAAATGGCCAAGTAGGGAAATAATCCAGGGGCCTTGGTGGACCACAAGCCAGTATTGAAGGCTTATGGCAAGATATCCTGGAACCCCTGAGGAGGGGAGGAAAGTGGGATCCCAAGGGGGCTGGAAGTCTCACTTGAGTGTGCAGGACACCATGTGATGAATGGGCAGGACACAGCCCAACCCTCAGAATGGCACCCTCCAGTCAAGTGAGTCCTCAGAGCTCAGGTAGCTGGGCAAGGTGTGTTCGAGCAGCTGTCACCCCAGTGACACTGAGAGTTTTGCCAGCTGTGGAGTCTCCTTGCTATGGTATCCTCCTTTGTCACATGTGTCAGTGAGTCAGGCCTACGGGAAGGCTTGAGCAAGGGCCTGGGCTCTGCCCACAGCTCAGAGGGTGACCTAGAAGCCTCAGTTTCTCCACTGGCCAATGCCCTTAAACTGAGCCCAGGCCCCTCTGCTCAGCCCCAAGAGTCTGCTCTGTGGCCAGGCCCTGAGCACTCTAAAGTCAGGAGGAAGGTTGCCTGGACCCCTCCCTCCAGTGTGGATGGGGCACAGGACCACCTGGTTTATGGGGTGGCAGGGGCAGAACAAGAAAACATGGGAGGCCTGGAGTTTGGTGTGATTTTTGAATTCCTATTACTGACTGAGGCACAGGGCAGAGGATAGAGCTGTCCCAGGATCCAGGAGAAGGAGGGCTCTGGTCCACCCTGCAGGCCTCCCACTGTTACTGCTCCCCCCACCCCCTGAGGCCTAGGGGGCAGGGGCCTACGGAGTCCCCAGGTTCTGCACAGAGTGACCTTAGAGGGAGCAAGGCATTGGTCTCGGTTGAGACTGACCCTGTTGGGCTAGCTTCACCTAGCCAAGGCATGTGGGGCTCAGAAGCAGTAGCCCACGTCTGGTCGGGGGAGTTGGTGAGTGACCTTTACCCCCAGAGCCTTGATGGTCTCATCTGCCAGTGGGCAATCCACACACACAACCCAGCACACTATACAATCAGAACCGAAGTCGTGTCTCCAGAGGGCCCAGACCTACCAGCAGCCCCCACCACTGGGGAGCTGTCTCTCCAAGCCTCTGGTGCTGAGGTGGGCCACAGAGCCAGTCCACAGGAGGCCAGGACTGAGGCAGCGTAGGCCTAGATGCAAGAGCCACCCCCTAACCCCCTGGATATTAGGCACTCCAGAGGGTGAGGCCTGTGCCCCCAGATGTGGCAGGGGGTGGAACAGCCCGGCTGGGCCACATGCGGACAGTGGCAGTCAATGACCTCGAGGCCATCCTTCAGGCACCAGGCCCTCTATCTAGCCCTCCCAGGCCCGAAAGGGCTGTAGCCTCCAGCCCAGAGGGCGCCGCTGAGGGTCAGTGCCCCTAGAGAAAGATGTTCCCATAGCCTAGAGCTGCCCCCTGGCCTCCTGGGGGCCGTGGATTAAAGACCTCCGGCTACCACCTCTCCCTGCCCACTGCCCTCCTGGCCTGCCCTTGGTTTTCTGTCTCTTGGGAGGAGATGGTTTTCTCAGGGTGAGATTGGAAAGAGCATGTTCCCAGGGCTGTGGCTGGACTGGCAGGGCTGATGGGGACATTGTGGGAGGCGGGGCCCCATCCGCTAGCCAGGCCTAGCAGCCGGATGTCAAAACTGCTTCCCAGATTGGTCTCAGCAGGAGATGCCTAGTGTCCTACCTGCTGAGCCCCAGGGCTGCCTGGAGCTGGTCCTCGGGGTCAGAGCTGGGGTCTGTGAAGCTCAGGGCCAGTAGCAAGGCAGGTTGCCGGGGCTGAAGGGTCAAGAGGCCAGGAGCTAGTGTTGTGCTCCTTGTCCTGGCCACATGCCTTTAATCCTTCAGCAGGAAGAGCTCTCTGTTCCAGCACCTGACTGGAGTAGAGCCAACCCTCAAGCAGTGTGTGTTTGTGTGTGTGGAAGGGCAGCTGGGACACTTTTAGGGACCTCGTCAGCCCCGGGTTAGGCCAAGGTGGGTTTGTGCCTGGGGCACTAGCAGCAGGTGAAATCTGGGAGAAGGCAGAAGCAGCTGAAACGTAAGTCCCTCAAGGCCGCAGTCCAGTCCTCCTGCTGCTGCTTCTGTCCCAGGTGGCTCCCTGTGGGGCTGCTATGGATGGAAGATACAGGGGCCAGTGGTCAGGGTGCAGGTGGGGAAATGGAAGCTCAGTGTGCAGGTGGAGAAATGGAGGCTCAGAGGGACATGCAGTGGATACCCAGAGTGCTTGAGCATTCGGGGGGCATGGCTTAGGTACATGGCATGTCCAGGAAGAAGGATTTTCTGAGTGGGGTCTGAGGCAAAGCAGGAGGGGGGCAGGAAGCCCAGGCCCTGCCCTCCTTTCTTGCCAGACCCATGGAACCTCCTTGCACTGGCCCTTGCCCTTATTCATCTTAGAGCCTAGTTTCCTTATTGGTGATACAAGAGCCATTGGCTTACCTTTATGGGGTATGACCCAAGAAGGCCCCAGTCCAGCACAGCCCAGCCTTCCTGGGTCTGTGTTTGTATCCAGCAGAGCCAGACTCCCCAGGGTGTGGCTGTACCTTCATGCCAGGCTAAGGTGCACCCTGGTTTGGAGAAGTCCTGATGAACCAGCTGCTCCGATACCACCCCCCCACCCGAACCGACCACTTTGCAGTGGATCAAAAGCATGGAAGAGAGAGGGCCTGAGGCCCGCTTGGCCTTAGGAGTTTTCACCCAGGGTCATCCAACTGCTGAGCCCTCCCCATGCACCATTTGATCTGCTCTGACACCCCTCAGAGGGTGGGGAAAACCCTGGACTTCTGTGTCTTGATGAGGAGAACCCAAGACAAAGTAGATCAATGCCAGGTCCATCTGGCAGGCCCCTACTGAGCTCTGTGGAGACACTTGGGGGGCCCAGCTGGGGTCTGGGCAAGGGCCTGGGGCGGTCAGACCTGGGAGACCTGAGAGACCTTGCCGCGCTGACATCGCTGTAACACTGATCAGCGGTGGTGGTGGTGGTGGGGCACTTACCGAGTCAGGATGAGCAGCCTACCCAAGAGGACGGCCGCCCTGGCCCGCTCGGCCAGAACTCAGTTTCCCTAGCTGTGCAGTGGGAGGGGCCTGTGAGCTCTGTTACTGGAGGCTAAACGAGGCCTGGGGAGCGCCCAGCGGGAAGATGTCACCCCCGCAGGGGACGCGGAGGGACGGGGGGTTAGGGGCGACCCCGGCCCCGCCCGACAGCCGAGCTGCACCCCGCGCAGGTGGGGGGCGGGACCTCGCCCGGCCCCGCCCCCGGCCCGCTCCCCGCCCGCCCCGCCCGCCCCGCCTGGGCGCGGCCCCGCTCCATTGGCTGCTCGCCTTGGCCGCCGCCAGATCCGCCCCCGCGGGGAGCGAGTCCGCCGAGCCCGAGCCCGCACGGCCGACGCGCCGGAGCCGAGCCCGGGTCAGCCGCCGCCGCCGCCGCCGCCGCCGCCGCCGCTGCCGCTCCTACCGGCCCGCGCGCCCCGAGCCCGGCCCGATGCCGGCCGAACTCAGACAGGTTGGAGGAACTTGGTGCCGGGCGCGGGGGCGCCGTCCCGGGGGCGCGGCGGCGGAGGGCGGGGCGCCGGCCTTCCCGGAGGACCCGCTTTTGTTCCGTGGAGCCGCCGGCCGGAGGCGGCTATTGTCTGCGCTCCGGGCCGGCGCGTTCGGCCCCGGGGCGGGCGGGGCGGCGGAGTGAGCGTGCCGCCCGGGGGGTGTGCAAGGCGCGGGGCGGGGCCGCGGGGTCTCTGGGGACCGGGCGCGGGCGCCCCGGGGCGGTGCGGTTCCACGCCGGTAGGCGAGGCCGGGACCGGGGGGGCGGGAGGGCACCCCAGGGCATCGCCCGGCACAGGTGCCTGGGTCGGGGGTGGTGGGGGAGGGCCTTCCTGAGCAGCCCCTCCGTGCAGGAGGGATGCCGAGTCCCGAGAGGGCAGCGGGGTTGGGCCTCCGGCTCTCCGGAGCCTGGGGGGGCTCTCCTCCCCTCCACACTCCAAGCGCGGGCTCCGACTCTGGGGACCTGCGAAGACGCTTCCGGAGCTTTAATGGGAGCCCTGTGTGCCCGGCGGCGCACGTGAGGGGAGGGGTGGAGGAGGGCCCTGCCCACGTGCGGAGGCGGGAGGGGTCTCCGAGGAGAGCCCCGGCAGTCAGCCTCCTTGTGCGGGGAGGAGCCGGAGGGAGGCCTCCGGGCAGCCAGCACCTCGTGCTCAGAGGGCTTAGGGTCCAGTAACAGTCAGGGATACTGAAGCAGACTGGAGAAGCAACTGCCCCAGGCCCCTTGTGATTGGGGTCTAGGTCACCCCTCCCCTACCCCTGGGAGCTGGGTTTCTGTCTGCTGTGCATCTCTGGTACTGGCCTGAGGCTCAGGCCACTGACTGCCCCAGAGAGGGAGGGGTCAGCTGCGGGGAGTTGGGGCCTCTGTGTAGCTGATGGATGCTGACTGGGCTTGGAGAAACTGGGGTGGGTGACAGCCAGCCCTGCTGTCCCCTGCAACCTTGCTTCACCAGTCTGGTGCGCTTGCACTGCCCGTAGGTCTCTTGACCACTCCGTGTGGACTGCAAGCCCTGGCAGGTGGATCGCTGCTCTGGAGGGGTGCGCTCACATCTGCCTGGGCTGGATAGAGGCTGTGGGCATCAAGAGAGGTGCATCTGTGGTGGCCAAGGGCTTGCTCTCTGGTGAGAGATGCCAGCCTGGATTGTCCTGGACTCTATCTGGGACAGCTGTGCTGGGAGGGGACACATTTGTTCCCTCACCCCTCCATTCATTCTTTCAGTGCCCGCTGTCTTGTGTCCGCTATGGGTCAGGACTGGGGATTGTGGGAGCCAGGTGTGGGATCCCACCATAACCCATTCCCTGTCTGTGAGGCGGGACCACGGACAGGATGGGGTTCCTGTCTTGAAGTTTGTTCTCCATGGTACACACCATGGGTGCTCATCATTCAAGTGCAGTGGGTGAGATAGAGCCGTGCTTCTGGGACTCCACTCCAGCCCCCCTCCCTCATTGTGACTTGGCTTGTTTCCCCGTCCCCTCCCTCTACCGTTCGCCCACATACCTCCTAGGTTGCTGTGGTCTTTTGCCTAGGAGGCGGCCACTTTGTCTGTTGGCTCACATCTTGTGTTCTACTCCCCACGTTCCCTAGATCTAGTCGCAGAGGTGGGGCTGGCACTCTCCTACTTGTTCTATGGCCTTGATATGCTGGGTGCTTTCTGTTTCCTCATGAGGAAGCTGAGCCCCGGGTGTGTGACAGGGCCAAGGGCCCTCCCACTGTGCCCAGCTCTGTGCCTCTGGGGACCCTCTTAAGAGCAGTGGTGGCTGGCTGGGTTTATCTCTCTTTAGTTTATCTAAACTGGCCACTCTGGCCCCTGGCTTAGAGTCTTGGCCAGGCCCCGCCCCCAAGTTCAAGGCAACTCATGGGAAACCCCAGGTCTGGACAGTGCCCCACTCTGGGCAGGCCTGTAGACCATGGATTGGGTAGACCATGGATGGGAGTGTCAGGGGACAGTTTGGGCCATGGTGGTAGGTGATGGGAGGCAGATTGGTGGTCCCAGGAAGAGGGACAAGAATGAAGCTAGGGCTGGGGAAGGGTGACGAGAGACAGTTGACAGAATTTGGCAAGATTTGGGATATAAAGGACTAGGGGTTGTGTGTCCATGCTGGTGTTCATGTCTGGGGTGCATGGGGGAGTCTGAGCTGCAGGGCCAGGGGTCTCTGGGCTGTGCCACCCTGGGTGGATGGACATGCAGCTCTAGAGCAGGCTCTTGAGTTCAGATGAGGATGCAGGCACCCTGGTCAGCTGCCTTTACTGAGTGCTGTGTGCCGGTCACCAGTCCATAGTCCCACCTCAACACCCCATGGATTCTGCAGAGGCCTAAAGCACGGGTTGACCTTGGGCCTTTCCCTGATTCCCCAGTCTGCCACCAGCACTGAGGCCCCCAGAGTGGGTGGTTGGCTGAGAGTCTGGACACAGGGGTAGAAGATAGGAGGAGATGATGGGGGTGGGTTAGCATGTGCAAGGGGGGCAGCAGGCACTGTGCACTGGGGGCTGTTAGGACAGCATGCAGATGGATGTGCTTGGGCCTGTGAGCCAGGCTGGGTGCTCACACATGCGTGTCTGTGTGCATCTGTCCCTGTTGGGTCTATGCACGCACGTCCAGGTCCTTATCTGCATGTGTGCCCAGGCATGTGTTAACGGGGGCCGGGCCTTCCTGTGATCACCGGCTGACTCACGCTCCCGCCTGCCCGCCCGCCTGGGTGAAGTCATCGCCTGTTTTTAGCTCCCTGAGGTCATTTGCCAGTGGGGGCTCTCGGGGCCTCAGGATCCCACTACCAGGCTGTCTGGGCTGGGTATTAGTGGGCGATGCTGCAGGGTTGCCAGGCTTTGCTGGAGGGGCCCTGGCTCCTCTGGACCCCCATTCCTTCGTCCCCCCTACTGCACTGTGGCAGACGTCATCACAGGCTAGAGTGAGAATAAACTGAACCTCAGAGTGTCATTGAGGTCTGAGGTGTGCTTACTCCTCTCCTCCCTCCTCACCCCACCCCCCAGCCAAGGAGCTGGAGGCTCTTCTCTGAGAGCACTGATGTATGCGGGTCTACTCGAGGGGCAGGTCCTCCTGGATGCTCCGGTCCCCTCTTGGGTCCACTCTTGTCTGTCTTGCCCCTTGCCCCTCCCCTTCACCTGCAGCCCCTGGGGTGTGGCCTGAAGCCCCCCAATGCCCAGCAGCAGAGAGAGAGCTCAGCGCCTGCCACGGTTTGCTCCCACAGTTGCCAAATACAAAACTCCCTGAGCTTTCGGCTCCAGAACTGTCCCGGCCTCCAGGGCCCTCAAAGAAGAGCCTGGTAGCATGTCCTATTCAGGGTCTCCGTTAACTTCACTTTCTCAGGGAACGTCATTCCTCCTACCTGGCCATGTCCCCACCAGGCATTCCACCTGCGGTCCCAAACTGAGTGGCGATGGCGCCTGCGGGGTAAGGTATAGCTCAGTGGCCTCACAGAGCCACCTTCCCTGTGGAGGCCTGGATTCCCCGTTAGTGGTCTCTGAAGTCTCAGTTAATCCTCTTCCTCTGTTAGGCCTCAGTTTCCCTTTTAATGAAATCATATACAGTTGTCTTCTGGGGACAGAGGCTGTATTCTGTGACTTACTTCCTGTGTCACCAGAGCCCGGGGGATACACCTGTCCTAACATGGTGCAGGTCTCTCCTTGGACTCCTGGAGTGTTTGCAGGGGCCCAGAATTTCAGGACTATGAGTAATCAGGGGCTTTAGCATTTTTTCAGGACAGGACCCCAAGCTGAGAAGATTGCACATCCTGAGGAGGACCTCAGGAACAGGCCCTAGGGCAGCTCTGGGCACCTAGCCTTGCACACTGCCTGGGCCCGGGGCTGGGAGCAGAGTAGGGCTCTGGTGGCAGGCAGATATGGGTATGGCCTTCCTTGGGCCTCAGCTCTGTTTCTGTGTAGGGCCTCAGAGGGCTGGGGCCCAGCCAGGGACCCATTCCTCAAGACACAGCATCTGGGCCACAGAACAGGGCCTGTCCTCCTGCTGACCTGGCCCCTGCTGCCCAGGAATGTGCTCCGCTTGCCTGCCCACTGCAGCTTGGGTTTCAGCTCCTACCCATCCTAGCCAGATGCTGATCCTGAGACGTTGGTGTGGTGCAGGGCCCCATGCAGTCAGAGGCCTGGGGGTACATGGCCTTTGGTTCTCAGACCCCTTTGCCAATCAGCACAGCAGGGGTCTGTTCAGCTCTGCTGTGGGCTGGCCTGTCCTCTTTTTTTTATTTTTTTATTTTTTAAATTAATTAATCAATCATTTATTTATTTATTTATTTATTTATTTATTTATTGGCCTGTCCTCTTTAAACTTCCGGTCCCTACTCCAAATCTGCCATAGGCTGTCCAGAGCTGTCTTGCCTAGAACTCCACCATGGTCATCCCCTGCAGGGGTGAAGGCGGGGGAGGGGTGCTGCAGGTTGGGGAGACCTACAGAGAGGTATGTCAGGAGGGCGCACCAGAGTCCCTGTCAAGGACTAACCTGGCACACCTGGTCTGAATTCCCCATCTCTGGGCTCTGGTAAGACAATGAGCGTCTCAATGGGGAGCACCAAACACTGGCCCAGATGAGGCAGGGCCAAGCTGGTGCCCACTCACCACCCCTAGAGTGTCCAGGCCGGAAGGAGCACGGGTATTTTGAGCATTCTGGGAACTGGGTATTTCTGTCCCACAAGGGCGTCTAGCTGGCCTTGGGGACAGTGGGGGCCTGGTGTGGCTCTGGGGAGTCAGCGAGCAGTACTGAGACTGTTTTCCCAAGGCGTCTGCACTCAAGGTTTCTTGGATGGGGCAGGGACGAGGCCCAGGACACAGGAGGGCCCACCCAGGGGTGGTGAGCCATGTCAGGGTCAGGAGCTCGACCTGCAGGTCCTACCAACCTCCTGGGGCCACCAGGAGCCTATAGCAACCGATCGAGCCTTGCAGCTCAGACAGGGCTACCCAGGACTGCACGCTGGGGTCAGGGGCTTTATCTGCCAGCCTAGCCCAAGGAGGCCCCAGGACTGGGGGAGGTGACCCCCCTTGGAGCCCCCCATGGGTTAGGGCAACAGAGCCAGTCAGCCCCGTGGTGTTCAGGGTGCTGTCTTCACCAGCTGGGGCTGAGACAGGCCCTGGGGTCCATGGGTTCCAGGGGTGGGAGGAAGGCACTCCTGGCATCTAGGCCGGCACAAGTATTTGCACTCCAGGGCCAGGTGAGCTGTGGGTCCTTCCACTGACGCCCATCCCCCTGTTGCCAGGAGCAGAGCCCAGGCAGCCAGGCCTCACTGGCCACCATGCCAGAGGCACCCGAGGTGCTGGAGGAGACAGTGACAGTAGAGGAGGACCCTGGCACACCTACCTCCCACGTGTCCATCGTCACATCGGAAGATGGCACTACCCGGCGCACCGAGACCAAGGTATGGCCAGACCGAGGCAGTGGGCAAGTAGGCTGTGCAGCCACAGTTCTATTATGAGAGTGGCCTCCCAGGGGCCACCTGTCATCTGGGTGGCAGTGTCTGGGCTCTCAGGCTGCCCAACCAGCCCACCGACCACCCGCTTACCCACTAGGTCACCAAGACGGTCAAGACGGTGACCACGAGGACAGTGCGCCAAGTGCCCGTCGGCCCAGATGGGCTCCCTGTGCTGGACGGCGGCCCCCCGCTAGGCCCCTTCGCAGATGGCCCCCTGGACCGGCACTTCCTGCTCCGTGGGGGCGGTCCGGCCGCCACACTCTCCCGTGCCTACCTCAGCAGCGGGGGCGGCTTTCCCGACGGCCCTGAGCCCCGTGATGTCCCCAGCTATGGCAGTCTCTCCCGGGGGCTGGGAGTGCGGCCCCCACGTGGCCCCCTTGGCCCGGGCCCCGTCGATGGCTGCTTCACACTGCCCGGCCGACGTGAGGCCTTCCCCCCGGGCCCGGAGCACGCGCCGCCGGCCGGTCGCTCCCAGCCCGAGCGCTTCCAGGCGGAGCCGTATGGCTTGGAGGACGACACACGCAGCCTGACTGCTGAGGATGAGGGCGGCCCGGAGCTGGAGCCTGACTATGGCACTGCCACAAGGAGGAGGCCTGAGTGTGGGCGTGGCCTTCGTGCCAGGTGAGCACCCCGTGACCGGCCGCTGCCCCCGGGAAGTCTGGCTGCTGGGGCTCTCCGTTAGTTACACCTGTTAGTTTGAATTGGCCACAGCTCCTTTCAAGGACAGCAGCAAGGGAAGCTTCTGGGGGAGTGGAAGTTCCCCTGGGCATCCTCCCTGTTGGCCCCGGGGCATTAGGGAAGTTGGTGACAGGGCCCAACGCTTGCTACCCTTGCTCCAGGCAGGTGGCCATGAAGACGTGAGTGTAAGTGGCTCAGAGCATTTCCTCTGCATTTCCCCAGGTCTCAGTTTACCCCGTGTACAGAAGCTATATCCCAGGAACTAGGCTACCCAGCTCTTCCCAGCTGTAGACTCTGGGTCTGTCCCCTCTGCCCTCAGTTTGTTTATCTGTAGAATGAGAATATGACCACAGCATTGGTATGGATTTTTTTTTAATTTTTTTATTTATTTATGATAGGCACACAGTGAGAGAGAGAGAGAGGCAGAGACACAGGCAGAGGGAGAAGCAGGCTCCATGCATCGGGAGCCCGATGTGGGATTCGATCCCGGATCTCCAGGATCGCGCCCTGGGCCAAAGGCAGGCGCCAAACCGCTGCGCCACCCAGGGATCCCCTGGATTTTTTTTTTTAATATTTATATATTTATTTATTCATGAGAGATACAGGGAGAGAGAGAGAGGCAGAGACACAGGCAGAGGGAGAAGCAGGCTCCATGCAGGAAGCCTGACACGGGACTCGATCCTGGGTCTCCAGGATCACACCCTGGGCTGAGGGTGGCGCTAAACCACTGGGCCACCCGGGCTGCCCTTGGTATGGATTATGCTGTGTGAACACAGACAAGATACCTGGTCCCTTCTAGCCTCAGTCCCTGCCCTAAGAAGTAGGTTTGCTGGTGACAGCCCACAAGGACATCCTGTGCTCTGGAGGACTGGTGGCCTGAATGCCCCTATCTAGTCCCAGCAGGCTGGCTGTGTGCAGGGAGGGTCACCTCTTTCCCCCACATCCCAGCAGATCCCACATGCAGAGATGGGCCTCGATAGAAGGCAGGAGGACCCCAGTCACAGACAGATGTTTCATAGAAATGCATTTAGCTCAGAATTGGGGAATGTTGCATGGTGGTGAGAGTAAGTGAGCTCCCCGTCTCAGGGAGACCCTCGCCCTGATAACCATTGGTAACCTTTGGCTGGCACTTAGCTGATGGTGGTGAGAATGAGTGAGCTCCCCATCTCAGGGAGATCCAAGCCCTGATAACCATTGGTAACCATTGGCTGGTGTTTAGCCGTGTCACTGGCTGTGAGTCAGTTCTTGCTGGCCTGGCATGGGACTCTTGGCACTCGCTCGGTGCTTGGGGTCAAGTATCAATGGTACGGGCCTCTCCCCACCTTTCCTGGGTTTGTGTCCTCCAGAGAATATAGGATGAGTAGCTCTGGAGCAGGTGCCTTGTGGCACTGCTGAGACGTCCCTGCACCCTGCCCGCCTGCACAGGGCCTACGAGGAAGTGGCAGATGATGGCGGCGAGCTGATGGAGGAGCGGCCCCCTTTTCCTGCTGCGACCGCACCCCTGGCCCAGCCAGAACGGGGCAGCCTAGGCAGCCTGGACCGAGTGGTCCGGCGGTCGCCCTCCGTCGACAGCGCCCGTAAGGAGCCGCGGTGGCGGGACCCCGAGCTGCCGGAGGTCCTGGCCATGCTGCGGCACCCCGTGGACCCCGTGAAAGCCAACGCGGCCGCCTACCTGCAGCACCTGTGCTTCGAGAATGAGGGTGTCAAGCGGCGCGTGCGGCAGCTGCGGGGCCTTCCTCTGCTCGTGGCTCTGCTGGACCACCCGAGGGCGGAGGTGCGACGGCGGGCCTGCGGGGCCCTGCGAAACCTCTCCTATGGCCGAGACACGGACAACAAGGCTGCCATCCGGGACTGTGGTGGCGTGCCGGCTCTGGTGCGCCTGCTGCGGGCAGCCCGGGACAACGAGGTCCGAGAGCTCGTCACAGGTGAGTGCACCGTCATCCCTTGGGGGAAGGAGAGCGAGGTTTGGCCAGGAACAGGTGTCCCTTCCCACCCACCCATGCAGTCAGGAGTCCAGCTGCTGGGGGCAGGCATGGCTTAGACTGAGAGGTCCTCAGTGTCTCTGCCCCTTGGGCAGGCCCCCTTGCCACTCGCCCCCATGTACCCATACTCCTCCAGGTCCCACCCTCCAGGGGGAGCTGTGCTGGGGGAATTGTGCCTTAGGGGACCCAGATGGCCAGGTAGGGTAATATGACCACCTTCAGGTGGAGCCAGTGGAGGGGTAGTGCCATTCACCCATGTGGCTCAGAGGGGATAGGGGAAGAGAAGGCACCTGCTTGTCTAGCCACAGGCTCCCCATAAGCCCTTGCTCTGTGTCCCAGCCCCTCTGGTGCTTCCTCCCGACTGGTAGTATTGTTAGGTGCCTTTGCACATCTTGCCTGGGCCAGGGTAGGCACCCAGGTCCTCTCATGGCTTTTGTCACTATCTTCTGGTCTGACCTGGGGCACATCCTGAGCGAGGTCACGTGGGGAGGTAGGGAGGTCAGTGCTTTGTGTGGTCAGCACTGGCTGGTTGATGGCGCCCTGCAGGCACACTCTGGAACCTGTCATCCTACGAGCCCCTGAAGATGGTCATCATTGACCACGGCCTGCAGACGCTGACCCATGAGGTCATTGTGCCCCACTCGGGCTGGGAGCGCGAGCCCAATGAGGATTCCAAGCCAAGGGATGCCGAGTGGACAACAGTCTTCAAGAACACATCGGGTTGCTTGAGGTGTGGGTGGGGGCCGGGTTCGGGCACTCTCTGTGCAGCCGCCCAGGTCTATTCTTGGTCAAGGAGGCAGGAGCCAAGCACTAGAGCCAGTGTGCATACCTGGGAATATCCTCAGTAACATGGAAGACAGTTAGCCACCCAAGTTTTAGGAGCTTCACATCCACACTACAGTTCCTGCCTGAGTCCTGAGAATGGGACTGGATGGGGCTGTTATACTCAGCCCCAAGGGAAGCCTCTGGACAAGGTCTGCCACCGTCTCATGTAGTACCCTATGTCTCCAGCCCCACTCACCTTTGACCCACGCTCCCATCACCACGGCAGCCAGGATAGGGGGAGCCAGGACCCTCATCCTGTCTGCCTCAGAGGCTTCATTTCACATCCTCAGACCTCTGCCCTAACCCTCCCACCCTGGGTATCCCTATAGAGTCCTCACAGGTGGTCCTGGGTCTCCAGGGTCCTGCCTGTTCATCAGAATGTACCCCCATGGCTTTATGGGGTCTTCACGGGGTAAGGTGGAACCCAGAACTGCCACTGGGGTAGGGGGAGCCCAGAATTATCTGTGCATGGATTCAGGACTCTGGACCCCGTTCTGTCCCCTTTCAGTTCTGCTGGGATCAGAGAAGGCCCCCTGCCCCACACACATGGCAGACTAGGGCTCTACCCTAGGGTCTCAGTGTCAGGACACTCAATAGCCCTGACAGGGTGGCATCAGACCCTGTTTTACAGATGAAGACAAGACCCCAAAGCTGGGAGTGGGGAGTGCTTGGCTGGGAAGTTCCCATGGGAGCCAGGGGTCACAGGGCTCGCTCTTGGCCACCCAGGAACGTGAGTTCGGATGGCGCAGAGGCCCGGCGGCGGCTCCGGGAATGTGAAGGGCTGGTGGATGCCCTGCTGCACGCCCTGCAGTCAGCTGTGGGCAGGAAGGACACGGACAACAAGGTGAGTGGAGCAGGATGGGGAGAGCCTAGCAGGCCCCAGCAGGATCAGTCTCACAACCTTCTACAAAGGGTTGAGAGACGGAGCAAGAACTGGGCCCAGGGGGCCTGACTCCTTTGGGCAACACAGGAGGAATAGGTGTGGGGGTCTGGGGCAGCGCCCTGGGCGTGGGCCACCCCACAGTGGCCACACTGGAGCAGACACCCATGACGTCCCAGATGAGGTCCTACATGCAGTAGGCTCTCCCACCTTTTTCCTCCCTCAGCCCTCCCCGGGAGTCCTCAGCCACGTGGGTCCCCATCTCTACACCCCCAGTTCCTCCCATGTACACTGGCTGTGGCTGAGCTTCCCCGGGAGGGCTAGTAGCCTCTGCCCACCAGACCCTGTTCCATCAACTCTCCTCTCCCCACAGTCAGTAGAGAATTGCGTGTGTATCATGCGGAACCTGTCCTACCACGTACACAAGGAGGTGCCTGGGGCCGACAGGTACCAGGAGGCTGAGCCTGGGCCCCCAGGCAGTGCTGCAGGCTCCCAGCGCCGGAGGAGGGATGACGCTGGCTGTTTCGGTGGCAAGAAGGCCAAAGGTGTGTGGGAGGGACAGGGGTACCACTCTAGGACTCCCCCTGCCACCCCAGGATGAAGGGCCCCCATACCCATGGCCATCACAGAAGCCAGAGACCACCTGATCAGCTCCTGATGGGCAGGTGGGAAAGCAGGTTGCTAAGGAGGGTGTACCGAGCCCCTGGGTCATCCGGCTGACCGTCCAGCCTTCCCTCATCTGCACTGTGGGCCCCCCAGGGGAGGGCAGGAGTGAATCTATGTGGTGTTCCTGCTGCTGCCTGGACTCAGCTCTGGGAGGGGTTCTTTGGACCCATGTGTGGAAAGTGCTGAAGGTGATGCCGCCTCCTGGCGTTCACAGAGCACCTGAAGACCTTGAGATGCCCACCCTGCCTTCACACCATCCCAACCGGCATTTGCTGGGTACAGGTTCCAGGGTCTACATTCCCTGGCACCTGCCCTCCTCCCCTGCCCCCAGTGTGGACCTGTTCTGACCCCAGGCCTCCACTTTTTTTGTTCCACTTCTGGGCACTCAGCCCTCCAGAGTAATCTGGGTGGGATTCCACGACCTGTCTATTCAACTTGGGGTGTGCAGTGGGAAGTCGAGGCCTCCTGGGAGGGCATGGGAGGGCACTGCCCATTCAGGCTCGTCTCCTCTCTCCCGTGCTTCCTCCGGCTGCCCAGAGGAGTGGTTCCATCAAGGTGAGTCCCTGTTTGTCCTGCTGTCCAGGCCTGGTGGGTGCGCTGGGCACCAGGGAGGTGCCGCTCGCCCTGTTGTCCAGGCGGTCATCTCCATGACGACTGCAGGGCGGTCCAGCCTCAGGGCCCTGCCCCATCCCTAGTAGTCCCTTCCCTAGGCAGCCATTTCCATGACAACTGTGTGGACATGACAACGGCAGGAATGTTGGCCCTGGACTTGTTGGGATGCCAGTGGGCTGTTCCTGTGTAACCTCAGACTCAGCTACCCAGGGAGGGCTGGAGCTGAGCAGGGAGAGTGAGGGGGTGGAGGGCAGGGTCTGGGACTGTCTGTCCCCGTAGGCCCCAGTGAGCAAAGTCTGCCCCTGGGAATGAGGTGATGTGTGGCTTAAAGGGACCACACAAAGCCCCCATGAGGCTGGGCAGAACAGGGAGCCTGGATCACTGAGCAGTGCTGCCTTTCAGAGGAAAGGAAGCTCCCTCATCTGAGAGGAGGGGGAGTGGGAAGTCGTGCGCTCACTCACCAAGGGGTGCAGGCCGAGGCTGACAAATGCTAGGTGGGGCTGCTCTAGGGGCTCGGCCTGCGGGTGGAGGTCTCCTTGCCAGCAGAGCTGGGACCAGGTCCTGATGCCAGGCAGGCATTTCCCCGTGGCTAGAACGCTTGGCCCCAGCCCTGCTTTACTATGCAGCCAGGCAGGTCTTGTCCTTGCTAGCCCTCAGCTTCTCTGTACCTCCCTGTCACCCAGCCTGGGCTCCCGGCTCCTGGCACCTGACAGGTGATGAGCCCTGACCACTGGGGGGCAAGGCTGGGACACCCCCAGGCCCCACTGTCACCACTGCCCTTCCCAGGGCCTCTTGGTGCCCAGTCCCAGGCTTGGGGGTGCTCTTGGACCTTGGGCAGGGAAGTGCTATGTCCACCCTCCTGGCTCATCCTGCCCGTGCAGGGTCTACTTCACCTCCATCTGTCCTCTTCCAGGGAAGAAAGATGGTGAGATGGACCGGAATTTTGACACACTGGACCTGCCCAAGCGAACTGAGGCTGCCAAAGGTGAGTGGGCAGAGGCAGAGTTCAACCCAGGCCCATCCAGGTAGCGAAGCTTTGTGCTACCAAGCAAGCTCGAAGGGCCTTGGGGATCTGATGGGGAGACAGCCCACAAGTGTGGGGTTCCCCAGAAGGCCGTCCAGTCCCTGGGTACCGGGCATGGGTTCAGAATCAGGGTCAGTTCCATGGGCCACTCCAGGCAGGGCAGGAGACAGGCACAGAGAGGCCAGGCACTTGCAAGGTCACACAGCACATGAAAGACTAGAGGAGACAGCCGAGGCCTTCAGTGAAGGCAGAGGTGAGTTAGGCAGGACCTAGTGTCAGCTGAGGTGCTCACCTTCACTTCGGAATGTGGGAGCAAGGGTGTGCAGTCAGACCTTGTACAGGGGCCGATGGTGCAGGGGGCAGAGTGGTTTATCCTTCTCGTTCTGCTGTGCCTGTCCGAGCCCTACTGTGTGTTGGTCTGTTCTGTACACTGCAAATCCAGCCTGAGGAGGAGTGATCTGTCCTGGTGAGCCCCAGGCCGCGGCCCACCCTGCAAGCCCAGACAGCCCCAAGCAAAGTGGAAGACCCCAGCCCTGGGAGGTCTAGGGGAAAACAACACACGCAGAGGGACCAGTGCCTGTGAATACCCACGCAGGGAACACTTGAGTGGGGCACATGCTTGGGGCATTGGGGGAACAGGAAGCCCAGTGAGGCTGGAGTGGAGGGACCAGTGAGGAATGGGGAGCAGGTAATAGGATGTGGGTGTGGGAGGACAGGGCAGGGGGAGTAATGTCTGGATCCAGGTCAACTGAAAGCCCGCTCAGCCCTTCCCCCTAGAGTACTTTAGAGCAACTCTGCTGCCCTGTGGGGGCAGGGCCTCACTTATGGGGGCCGGGAGTGGTTGAGCAGGGTGCAGACTGGGAAGGCAGGCTCTGTAGCTAGGGGCTTGTACCCATAACAGCCTAAGTTATGTAGGGGAGAACGGGCCCTGTTCCCAAAGAGGATGGGTCTTTTCCTAGGGCTCCCCCTGCCCCCAGTGGCACAGCCTATCTGCCCTGGAGAGCTGGCCCGGTTGTGAGGGAATCTGGGTCCGGTTGCTAGGGAAACAGCCCTGGTTGCCCCCTCCCTCTCTACCCCAGGCCTTGTGGATGCTCTGGCTGCCAGGCAGGGTCAAGGGACCAGTGACTTCGCTTAGACCTACTGCCTCCTCACTGAGCCTCTGTGTCCCATGAAGCGGGAATGCTTTTTTCCTCCAGTGGCCCATAAGGGGGGGGGAATGTGTTGATGTTACATTTTCCCTGGCTGCACCATTTCCCATCCCTGGCCCCAGCTGACTGATGGGAGGAGAGGGGGGAATGGAGCGGGGGTCTGGGTGACCGCGGGCGGTGGGTACTCTGTGCCCAGGCTTTGAGCTGCTGTATCAGCCCGAGGTGGTACGTCTCTACCTCTCCCTTCTCACGGAGAGCCGGAACTTCAACACCCTGGAGGCGGCTGCAGGTGCCCTGCAGAATCTCAGCGCTGGCAACTGGATGGTGAGAGGCTGGATCTGGCAGGGAGGGAGAGTCCAAGGTCTGCTGGGGGTGCGGCCTCTGCCTTTGGCCAGGCTGGGGGTGGAGGGTTGTTGGGGACCGCACGGGATACAGTGCCTCCCCGAGGTCCAGGGGATGGAGTTGGAGTTGAGTTGCTTGGGTAGAGCTTTGTCAGGGCAGGAGAAGGGCCCAACCAGAGGTGACATCTGGGGCTCGGCTAGGAGAGTGTCTAGGCGTGCAGCTGTGTGACCCAGTGTGCTGAGCACACTCCCCACCCCACTGCCACAGTGGGCCACGTACATCCGTGCCACGGTGCGCAAGGAGCGTGGCCTTCCAGTGCTTGTGGAGCTGCTGCAGTCCGAGACGGACAAGGTAGTACGTGCTGTCGCCATCGCCCTGCGCAACCTCTCCCTGGACCGGCGCAACAAGGACCTCATAGGTGAGGACGCTGGTGGGACAGGGCCAGGATGCAGGTCCGGGGGGGGGGGGGGGGGCTGCTGGGGCGGCAGGGTGGGGAGGGTTCAGCCCTGCCCCTGTCATTTCCTCCAGTCCCAGGTGCTTGGAGCTGATGTCTTCCCATAGGGTCCCAAGGCCTAGCCCCTGTCCATAGCTCCCTGCTGCTCTCTCTCCTGGTGGAGGCCCCCGTGTGAATCCCGTTCCTCCCGGTCCTGACACCTGCCCCTGCCCTTCAGGAAGCTATGCCATGGCCGAGCTGGTGCGGAACGTGCGCAATGCACAGGCTCCGGCGCGACCCGGGGCCCGCCTGGAGGAGGACACGGTGGTGGCCGTGCTCAACACCATCCACGAGATCGTGTCTGACAGCCTGGACAATGCGCGCTCACTGCTGCAGGCCCGAGGTGTCCCGGCGCTGGTGGCCCTGGGCGCTGCCAGGTGGGCGGGGCAAGGGGCGGGGCCCGGGAGGGGCGGGGCCTGGGGCGGGGCGCGGCGAGTGCTGACCCCGCCCTGGGCCTGGCCACAGCCAATCGGTGCGCGAAGCGAAGGCCGCTTCCCACGTGCTACAGACCCTGTGGAGCTTCAAGGAGCTGCGAGGGGCCCTCCAGAAGGATGGCTGGACCAAGGCGCGCTTCCAGGTGCGGCCTTCCTCTTTCACTTCTCCAGGGTAGGCCCCCACAGGAGTGCCCCTGACCTATACACTGTCTGTTTTGCGCTCCCCACCCCAGTCAGCCGCCGCTGCTGCTAAGGGACCCAAAGGAACACCGAGTCCCGGAGGCTTTGACGACAGCACCCTGCCACTGGTGGACAAGAGCCTTGGTGAATACGGGGTCGGGGTGTGCACGCCTATCCCTGAGGTACACGAGATGCTCCTCCACCTAGGTGCATTGTTGGTGATGAGGCAGGTAAGGGGTAGGGGGGCCCTTTCCTGGCTTGCAGCCTCCTACAGTCTCTCTACCCACAGTGTCCACATGGATGGGGGGGTGTCAGTGGCAGAGGCCCAGCAGGATGGTGCAAAGATGTTAGTGACGCAGGGTACACAGGGTCACGGAGGCCAGCCTGCTATGGGTTTGTTCCGGTATCTCCACTGTTTCTTGCAACCAGCCAGCCAGCCACCTGGCTTGTGCCTTGCAGATGGTGAGAAGCCAGGCAGCCGGGACGTGATCCCCATGGAGGCACTTGGCCCAGGTGAGTGCTGATGCAGGGTGGCTTGTTTCCTGGGGGAGGGCAATGTAATGAGCCAGGTAGTTTTGCCTTGTGTGTTTGGTGTTGGGAAGGCCTCCCAAGGAGATGCTGGGTAGAAAAGAGATTTGGTTTTGGGGTGCTGTTGAACAGGGTAGGCTCTCCAGCTAAGGTCTCTGGTCTGCCATCTGAGGGGGGGCTGGAGAGTTCTGAGCCACCATTGTGGGAAGGGCCTTGAGAAGACCTGGCCTAGGCCTCCAGCATAGTGTTCAGAGTCATCTCCAGGAGTCCCCTGTCTGGGGCCCCCTGTGTCTGGGCTGAGAGGGAGATATGCCCCTGTGGTGCCTGCCCCTCAGAGTTCCCCTCATGTCCCCCATCCCAAGATGGATACTCCACTGTGGACCGGAGGGAGCGAAGGGCTCGAGGCAGTGACCCTGCAGGGGAGGCCTCTGAGAAGGAATCGTTGAAAGTACGTATCACTGTGGGCAGGTGCCTAGGGAGGTGATGTAACTAAGGCATTACTGGGAGGGGCCCTGGCAAGGTGCTGAGTGTAGATGCCCAGTACACCTGGGGTGGGCTCACCTGCAGGGCAGCTGAGCTGGGAGACCGAGCCAGGGGACTCTGAGCAAGCCTGTCTTCATCCTCTTGCCTGCGTGTGGGGGGCCGGGGCAGCGGGGAGGAAGCGGTGGGTGAGGGCCCACCATTGTCCCACCTCCAGGGCAGCACCTGCCAGCCTGCTCTGTGATAGTCCCCTGGCTTTGGGCACAGGCCTGTGTGTGTCCACGCATCACTGTGCATCTATGTGAGCCACACTAGCTCAGCTCCCGCCTCATCCACTGAGCAGCCCAGCCCCTACCTGTCCGCGCTGACTAACCTGCTCTGTTCTGCTCTAATGCCCTTCTGCTCACTGCCTGTCCGCTGCAGCCCGACCCCGGCAGGAAGGTTCCTCCTGGGCCCAGCAGGCCCGCGGTCAGGCTGGTGGATGCCGTGGGGGACGCTAAGCCTCAGCCCGTTGATTCCTGGGTCTAGCTTGCATGCCTGGTACGTTCTCTCGTCTGGTTTCTCGTCCAGCCGTTCCCCGTCCCCTGGGAAGGGGCTTATTGTTAATCTGTGCTGGCTGCATGTTCTGTCCCTCCGTCTCCCTGGTGGGACCCCAGCTTCAAGGTCAGCAGGCACAAGTACCCACCTTAGGCACAGGCTGGGGGCTGAGAGGGACATGCCTCCCTGGGCCTGCAGCCTGGGCTCAGGCGCTGTGTCCTCAGGGCCAGAACAGGGATGGCTCCCCTGCCCCCACATTTAAACGCCTCAAGCACAGTGCCCCCCAACGACCAGCGAGTCAGATGGGCCCTGATGCTGAGACTCTCGGGGTCAGCCTGTGCCACCCCAGCAGCTGCCTTTGTCCACACTTGCGTTGGCCTGGCCTGTAAAGGGGTCCGCCCAGCCCCCAGGCCGCCTGGCTGAATCTTTCCCTCTCCCTCCTTAGGTCTCGGGCCCAGCCATTTGTTCTTAGGGATCTGATCTGATCATGGGAAGATGGGAACTCCGGGGCGGCCCTCACAGACCCTGCTGTGGAGCTTGGAGCCCCCTGGCGGCAGGGCTTGGCAGCGCCTCTCGCCCGGGAGCCAGGGCTGGACGTTCTGGACACAGCTTCCTTCCTGCCCCTGCTCCCTCCCTCCTAACTCCCTAGGCTGAGTTAGCTGTTTACTGACATGGTGCTGTGTGACTGCAGAGAGAGAGAAAGCCAGCCGGCCTGCCGGGGGTGGGGGGCCCAGGGAAGGGGCAGGGCAGGGCACCTAGCTTTGCTTTGGGGCTGGCTGTGTAGAAGTGTGCTCTTGTGTGTGCAGGGGCCCAGAGGAGCCCCGCAGGCCTGCCAGAGGGCAGGCAGCAGGGGAGGGAGAGGGGGGCTCAGGGAAGGAGTTTGACTCCAGAAGGTGGAGGGGATCCACTGGGCTCTGAGTCCCACCCTGCATGCCAGGCAGAGCATGGGTGGGGGCTGACCCGAGCAGACCCGAGCAGAGCCGCTCTGGGGGTCAGACTGTGCTTGGCCCCACCCTGCCCTCAGTTGCGTGGAACCCCAGTGCAGCAGGGGCCGTCCCTGAGCGACTCCAGCCTGGCCGTGCCTACCAAATCCCGTCTGCCCTGAGTTACACCTTGGGACTGACCTGCGGCAGTGGCGGGGGACTGCTGCCTAGTGCCTGCTGTTTGTGACTTTAAAACAGAAGAAAAACACTGACGAAAAGCATTAAAAACAAAACCAAAATAAGACTGTATTGGTAAACACCTAAATTTTTGTAAGAAAATTTAAAAAGTAAAAAAAGCAACACAGAAACTGCCTATCTTCTGCGGCTCAGATCTCTTGGCCCAATCTGCTTGCTTTTCCGTTTGCCCAGTGGGAATGGGTGGAGGTGGCCCTGGGTGTCCATGTGCTATGTCCAGAGGGGGCTCAGCTCCCAGGCCCCAGGGGTGTTCGTGCACGTGTCCTCCCAGACTCACTGTGACCTGCTTCTTCACAAGGGAGAGGGCTAGCTCCTGGGCGGGCTGCACCGAGTTCCGGCGTGGTGTCTGGTCTGCATACAGGTGGGCTCAGCTAGGATTGGGGATGGGCAGGATTCCTGGGGAGCCCCTGAGGTAGCCAGGCGGCCCTGGGGCCAGAGGGCCAGGGTTGCGACTGGGGATTTAGTCAGCTGTGGATTTAGGTAGATGTAAAGCAATTCCACTTCATCACCTGCTGGCTGGGCAGCCAGTAGAAGTGCCAGAGCTGGTCTGAGCCTCCATGAATGAGGCCGAGCAGGACGGGGGAGGTTAGTTCTACTACTCAGTACCACACAGGGACCCCAAGGGGCCAGGGGCCTGAGAGCCCACACCCTGCACTGTGGCGGGGCCCCCTGTCCACCTTTCCCTGGTGCCTGGTTGGTCAGAGATGGGACATGATGGCCGACCAACCGCCCTGGTCCAGTTTCCCAGGACGGCCTCCAGGTGGGGGCTCATGTCAGCCTGCGGACATCCCCATGGGGATGCAACACATAACTTCAGCCTGGCCACACGAGCCCGTTGGGCCACAATTAGCATCCAGGGAAGTCGGGAGCATTGGGTGTGGTGCCAGAGCTGAGAGCACAGCAGCAAAGGAGCGGGGAAGCAGTTAAAAAGAAGCACTAAGTTGATCTCTTCTATTTAAACATTTAAATTTTTAATTTCTCTTTTAGCATATTTTAAACATGATACTGGTATACGGGATTATTAATAGCGAGCTGATTGTAGTAAAGAAGTTACATTTCATTCCTAAAAAAGGTGAAAGAAACTCAGGAGTCACAAGTGAGTGTGAGTTGTTGAACACAGCAGCATCACTCAGGCCTTGCTGCCACCTGGTGACTGTGAACCTCAAGGACAGACTGAATGGACAGCCCAATCGGTTCCAAATGTTCCCACTTCCAGTGTCCACTGCCTATGTCAATGCCCAAGGACCTACTCATGTAAGAAACCCTACTGACTGAAATGCTGGTGGGTGGAGGAAAGGGACCACCTGTCCCGATTTGGTATTTACAAACATATTTTATAGATTTATTGCATGATTTTGCACGGTGAGCTGGCTGCATTTGGCGGGGACCAGTGGAGACAGGCCAGTGTCACTGCACAGAGGGGCCATTGCCAGCAGGCTTTGGCCTCATAGGCCTCTCTCTCATAGGACAGAGCCCAGAACTGCAAAAGCGGGCTGGCAGGAGCACATGTGTTGTGCCCTTCATAGCTAGGCTCGGCAAGGGACCCCAGGGTGGGGTGGCTGGTCACGGCTGTGTTGGGCTGCCTGGGCCCTTGTAGACCACCTTCTCCAGGCCATCCACTCTCTTGGAGTATTCCAGGTATGAGGGGAAGTGTGTGCACTCAAAGCGGTTGTTCCCACGCACATATGCCAGGAATTCTGGTGTTCCTGGGCAGATGACGTTGTCAGCCAGCAGCACTGTCCCTTTCCGTAGCAGGCCACACTCCTGCAGGGGACAGATGGTGGGAAGGGGTGAGGGTGACAGGCGTCCCGCAAGCCAGTCCCACACAGGGAGGATAGGTGTTCATGGCCTGTGCCTGGCCTGGAGTCAGCTGCACTCCGGCTCCTGGGATCACCAGGGTCTCCCCGGTGCCTTCCACCTCCTCCCCAGCAGCAAGCACCACAGGGAAGGGCTGTGCTGAGCACGGGTCTTGCCACCAGGACGTGGCTCTGTAGGAAGAACCTTTTGCTCCTCATGAGGTCCTGCATCCCCAGCCCCTGAACAGCATGTGGCAGGCACACAGTAGTTGTTCAGTCATGCTAGCTGGATGAGTAAGTGGAGGAGCCAGTGGAGCCAGGATTCAGGCCACAGGGCCGACTCAAGGCCAGCGGGTCCTCTGGTTACCTGGGGCCAGGAACATGTGACTCTTCCGGGTGAGATACCTGTGCCTCACAGTGCATGACACCCCTGTGTGCTGTCACTGGAGGTCCTAACCGGCTTGACCAGGGTGAGCCTGCAGGGATGGGGGTGGAGGCAGGCCAGACCTCACTACCCAGAAGCCTGCCCCTCGGAGGTTTGCTCTGGACAGCCCTGAACTCTGGCATTTAGACACCCCATCTCTACCAGCACATGGGCCTGGGCTCTGCAGAGGGAAGGAGCAGCAGCTGAAAACAGCCAGGACGCTGTGCTGGGGGCAAGGCAGCCTAGACCGTAGGAAACAGCAGAATGAAACCTTGAGAGGAAGTGCTTGCTGTGGGAGACATGCAGACCAGGGCAATGTCACCCCAGTTGCCATGTCCTAACTTTGGAAGCACAGAGCTGCTTTTTCACATGATCATAAAAAGTTAAAAAAAAAAAAAAAGCAACCTGAAACATCAAAAGCAAAATCAGAGGGACCCCAAGCTTGCCTCACATGGCCGACAGGCCCACATGCGACGGAGCATCTATAACTGCACCCTCCAGGGATGTGCCCCAGCCCAGAGTCTTACAGGTGTCTCAGATCTCCTGATGGCCATGGTCACTTCCAGCCTGTGGGCTGCAGGGAAGCCAAGGGCCCTCCAGCCAGAGTGGAAAACACAACTGTGAGGCCACTGAGGCTAGGGACAACCCATGAGCCAGAATTTGAACAGAAAGTACCAGTGTGAATCATGGAGCATTTTCTCGTAGGAAAAGAAAGCCCCCTAGCAGTCTTGGCTAGAAGGACCTAGAATGGAGAGCTGTCCAGGAGGAGGCACCCCTGGCTCAAGCCCCAGAATGGCAGCTCTGGTCTCCAGCGGGAAATGACAAGGTGAGCAGGAGTGGGGCTCCAAGCCTCATGTGTAGGGTCATGCTGTTCAGGAGCAGGCGTCCAGAGGCCAGAAAGTTATTGGACACTGAAATCCAGTGACTTGACCACAGAAGAAGGAATGAAAGAAAGGAGCTTTGGGCACGTTTGGAGGGTGCTGGGCCTTCCTAGCTTGAGGAAGCTGGACCAGGAGGAAAAGGCGGCAGCTGTCCTGCCTCTGCCCAGACATCACATGCCCCCCGACAGAGGACACAGACCCCTTGGAGAATTCTGCTCAGAAGCCTACCGCGTCTGAGCAAACCTGCTGTGCTAAGCCTTGCGGGGAGGAAACCACCTCCAGGGATCCCTGGGTGGCGCAGCGGTTTAGCGCCTGCCTTTGGCCCAGGGCGCCATCCTGGAGACCCAGGATCGAATCCCACGTCGGGCTCCCGGTGCATGGAGCCTGCTTCTCCATCTGCCTGTGTCTCTGCCTCTCTCTCTGTCTCTCTGTGACTATCGTAAATAAATAAAAATAAAAAAAAAAAAAAGAAACCGCCTCCAGAGGACCAAGAGCCTGCACTGGAGGTGGTTTTAAACTGTGTCCACAGGGATGCCTGGGGGGCTCAGTGGTTGAGCGTCAGCCTTTGGCTCAGCGCATGATCCCTGGGTCCCGGGATCGAGTCCCGCAATGGGCTCCCTGCAACAAGCCTGCTCCTCCCTCTGCCTGTGTCTCTGCCTCTCTCTCTCTCTCTCTCTCTCTCATGGATAAATAAAATCTTCAAAAAAAAAAAAAAAAACACAAAACTGTATCCACGGTTCCTTTTCCACTGGGTATGCACTGGGCTTAGTGACTCGCTTCTAAAAGGAGACAAGCGGCGGCTGTGCCTTCAGAGATGGTCTACAGGGCACCACGGCTGCCAGATTGCTCCTTGTTTCTGTCTCCCGGCCCCGGCTGTGGGGAAAAGCCAGCTGCCATGTTGTGAGGACACCCAAGCAGCCCTGTGGAGAGCCCGTGAGACCTGTGGCTGCGGCCTCCTCGGAGCAGCCATGTGATTTCAAATTGCCCCCTGCCCCTGCCAGCCCCTAAGCCCTGACCCGGGGAGGTACAGCCAGGCCTCTGCAGAGCCAGGCTGACCCGGCACCAGGCGAGGGCCGCAGAGCCCAGCTGCATGGCTAAAGTACGCTTGTTTCAAAAGCACAGCCCTTCCCAATTCACGACGTCTTTTCTTTTGAGATAATTAACAGCTTTGAACAAGCAGCACTGAGAAAACGATCAGTTTCCTAGTTACTAAACGGCAATATTTGCTACTTCTCTATAAATGCAGGCCCCTGTAATTATCACATACACCAAAGCTGCTGAAATCCCTCCCTCCCCAGGCAGGCCCAGCTGGGCTGGCTGCCTGGCTCCTGGCCCATGGGTCTCCTTGCCATCCCCCACACTGTCCACCTGTCTCAGCAGGTGACTAGTCCAACTTCTAGCCCCTGGATCTCCCCTCCTCCACTCACAGAGCTCAGCATGTCTGTGGAGTTTCCGGGTCTCTGCACCATCCTTTCCACAGCCATCCCTTCCCACCCTCTACACGCCCAACAGGGATCTTTTCTGGGGCCAGATCTAACCTTGTCTTCACCTGCTTAAAGCCCCCCCTATGCACACCAGTGTGTAGCATTCAAGGCCATCCACGCATGCTCTGGCCCACTGCCCCAGGTCTGCCCATTCCCAGAATGTCCTGTCCCCTTCTAGACCCTAAGCCAGGGCAAGTTCCTTCCTGCTGTGTCCAGGCACCCGGCCCTCCACGCCTGTACTGGAACCACTGGATGCAAGGTCCTGCCCTACCTCCAGCCATGGCTCCAGTGGCCATGCCCCCTGTGCTCATGGTCTCTCTGCACTGGGCAGAGTGGCCAGCCCGTGCGGGAAGTGAGGTGGCTTAGCGTGGGACAGATAACATGGAATCACAACATGCTGGCTGCCAGGACGGGGACCCCTGGTAGAGGGCCAAACAGCCACTACATGTGACCTTGACCACCCAGGTGGGACAAGGTGGTGATCATCATTAGGGTCTGCATGTCAGCTCATTAAGGGCCCACCCAGTGCCCCACATGGAGATGGGGCAGCCTCACCGGTCACCACTTGGGGCCAGCCAAGCAGCGGCTCTAAGGGCTAGGACAGGATGCAGTGTGAGGACAGGGATGCATGGTAAGGAGCCTCAGGAGGAAAGGGGCAGATGTCCTGTTGGTGCTCACCTCCACCCCCACCCCAGCGCAGGCCACCTAGTGGGCCTGGTTGACTCCTTCTGCCTAGAACCCTCTTCCTCTCATCTCCACACCACCCCTGCGGCCTCCTCTGGTCCTCTGCGCCCCTCGCCCTCTGGTGGGCCTGCACTAGCAGCCAGCACCGAGGCCCATGTGTGCCAGGACAGGGCACAACTTACCTCTAGGAGGACTGTGTCCGGCAGGTACCGATCCTTCCAGTGGTCAAGGAAGACCATGTCTAGCGTGTCCACATCATGCTTCTTCTTCAGCTCGGGGATGGTGTCCTGGGATGCCCCGGTCAGAATGGTGACCTGGAACGGCACCCTGTCAGTGCCCACGCCCACAGGCCGCCCTGCCTGGACGCCCGCTCGTGTCACCAGTCTTCTTTGGGCTTCTGAGGAGGTAAGTCCCCACTCTATCCCCTTTCCATTCAAAGGCAGCCTTGGGAATTTCCTGCCCCGTGGGATGGGGTAGCAAGACCTCGCTCACAGAGTGGCTGGGGGATCCCTGAAACCTGGGCCGGGAGGCAGCACAAGGCCAGGTACAGCAGGATAAAGGCAGCCTTGAACCGCACCGGGGCAACCCAGGCCCTTCCCCTCGTCCCGGCACCTCAGTGTCCACATCCTTCACCTTGGGGCAGCAACGCACCCTGTCCTGCAGGCCTGCGAAGTCCAGCATCTGCTGGGTGATGGCGGCGAAGTCAGGGTTGAGCTCGATGGTGATCAGGCGGGCCCCGGGCTCCAGCAGGCGGGCCATGCGCACGGCCGAGTAGCCGCAGTAGGCTCCCAGCTCCAGCAGCACCGACGGCCGCTGCTCCCGCACCACTGCATCCAAGATCTGGCCTGCGGGGAGGAGGAGCCGGTGGGCACGGGCCACAGGCGGAGGGAGGAGACCCCCTCCTGGTCCTGGACCTGCCCCTTCCCGACCATCAGCCCCTAGACCATCAGCCCTACCCACGCCTGCCTCCCTCATTCCCATCCCCCCTCCCCCACATCACACTAAACACACCCTCCCGGCTCCCAGGGTCCCTCAGGCCTCTGGGGCTCGGCACACCCTAGTCCCTCTCTTTCACATGGTTCCTGGCTGCCCCCAACCCGTTCTAACCCAGGGCTGCCCTCTACGGAGGCCCCCACTCCACCGAGCGCATGGGCTGCACTCAGGGCTTCCCTGGCTCCCCGGGCTGGGCACTGTCAGAGGCTCCAAGGGGGCTAGACAATGGCTATCCCATCTGTCCCCAGGCCCCAAGGCCCAGGGTACAGCACAGCACATGCCTGTGCCCCAGGCTAGAGTCCAAAGGTTAGGAGGCAGCCTGGTGCTTGGGCTGAGCAGAACCCGGGGAGCTCTGTCCAGCCTCATGCCCAGCAGGGACGGCCAGGGGGCCCTGCTTCGTCAGAAGCCTTTCTGTGTGGCTTCGTCAGAAGCCTTGCCTGTGTGGCAAGGAAGGGTCCCGGACAGTGTATCAGACGTCCCTCCCTCCCCTCGAGGACAGCGAGGTGAGGTGGATGTCAGGGTCTCTGCACAGCCTTTGCCCCTGGCCAGGGAGCAGACAGCGGGTGAGTAGCTCAGGCCACCAGGGCTCCAGGGGAGCCCCCATCCCAACACCCAGAAACAGACTGACCCCAGGCCCTCTCCTTTATAGGCATGCTGCCCCACCTGAGGTCCCCGTTCCCATGCCCCCCACCTGCCGGCCGGGCTGCCCACCTTTCTTGTCACCCACGTTCATGGCCCACTCCTTCTGCGAGCAGTAGGTATCGATGGCCTCCAGCACACTTTGTGGGTCCCCGGCCACCGCGTGCTGGAGCACATGTCGCAGGATGCGCTGCTCCTTCGTGTCCCCCATGAACAGGTTGTGGAGCGGCTGCAGGACCAACTCATTCCAGCCGATAAAAAGTAAGCCCAAGTTCAAATGTCGCAGGCAGAGCAGTACCAGCAGCACCAGGCCCAATGACAAGGCTGCCAACAGCAGGGGTGGGGCTTCTGGCATCTGAGATTGGGCAGGGATGGGGTGGGGTGAGGAGGAGGGGAGAGAAGGGGGAGGGCAGTGGGCTTCAGGGCTGTGTGGCCAGCCAGGAAGCCCTGCAGCCAGCTTGGGAGCGCAAACCCCTTGGCATTAGTGCAGACCTGCCCCTCCCAGCGGATGGGGCTCGCGGTTCAAGTGGCTAGCCGCGCGTCCCAACTGCCTGGCTCATCTCAATGCCATGGGAAAGACCTCCTGCACCCAAACAGCCTCCTGCCCCTGGGGCTGCACCCTGGGGCGCACAGAGCACGTGCTCTGTCCGGCCATCCTGCCTGGGGACCTGCTGGTCACAGTTCTCCTCCCTGGGCGCTTCCCCAGACAGATGGATGTGGGCACACGGGCAGCCCAGCTCCCTTGGGTCCTCACACCAGCATCTAGCAGACTCACGTGGCCCTTTCAGTGACTTTCCAGGTAAAAACACAGGCAGTCCCCAGGCCAGGCACACAGGGCACGGACCTACTCACCACTCCCCTTAGGGACAGCCACACGTGGCACATCTGGCCCTGGATGAGGGCCAGCCCTGGTGCCTGCACATGTGAGGGAGATGTGCCAGCAGAATCAGACACCTACAAGGATGGTACAACCTCCCCCTGGCGAGCCACCTTTAGGCAGGTAGCTCAGGACCCAGTCAGATGGGGGCCGTGGGACACACGGGCAAGGCTGGGCCACTCAGCCCTGGACTCCTGGCCTGCACAGAGCAGAGTTCATGATATTCAGGGCAGATGCCTTACAAAATGGGAAAGGACAAAATAAAGAGGACCACGGGCAGCTTCTGTCGGGTGGCTCACAGGTTACTCCCAAGGCCACAGAACCCCAGCAACCACACGGGACCCTGCTCTGCCAGAGGCTCCCATGTGGGAAGGCACTTCCGGGAGAGCAGTTACGCTGGGGGCCGCGGTGGGGAGAGTGCTGCAGGATGGCCGAGGGCTCCAAGCCCCAACACACTGGTCATGAGGACATGCTGGTGCTTTGGGGAGCAGGGCAGAGGATGGATGGGAAACTGAGGCTCTGCCCCAGGTGAGTGTGGACCCCAGATTCTGGTGGTTTAGGCCGTATGGCCACTGGACACTTTGTCAGCAAGTCAGAATACGCACACGCAGGGGCCCTGGTCCTTGGCCCACACCTGCTCTTCTGCTCCTTCAGAGCCACCCCCCGAGCTGGCTCCGGCCCTCCATGCTGTGCACCCCTTCTCAGAGCTCGGCAGCAAAGCAGATAACATTTGTGCAGAATTCTTCTACCTTTAGATAATGACCGACAGAAACCATAATCTGAAAATGACCAAGGTCCGGATGGGCGCCTTCCTGGAGGCCAAGCCTTGCCCACGAGGGTGGCACTTCACCCTTCCGTCCTCAGAGTGCAGAAGGCCCCAAAGAAGGTAGTGAAATGTCAGCCTGGGACACTGGGGACACAGATTACAGCAGGAGGCCTGATGTCCCCAGCAGGTGTGGCAGGTGTCAGCACGGGAGTGTGGCACCCCTGCCTGGGGGGCGCCCGGGGCCCCACTGTGCCAGAGAGAGTGTGACTCAGGTGTTCTGTCTGCGGGAACTCCAGGGACCACACTGGGCAAGGGCCTCCGTGGGGCAGGATCACCACGACCCAGGAGGCAGGTGAAGGGAAAACACGGTGGCGGGGTGGGGAGGTGGGGTGGCGTGGAGCGCACAGCAGGTAAGAGCAGAGTGCCTCTCTTCTGGGGACAGATGACAGGAAACAGTGAGGGGAGGCCCCTGCAGCCTGAAGGAGCTAGAACTTTCTGCTTAGGATTTCCTAACCATACACCAGTGTTGCTTTAGTTATTACTATTATTACTCATCATAGTGTTGGGTGATGATACAACAGGCCATTCTGTCTTATTCTCCATATTTAAAAAATTATCCAGTAAATGTTGTAAACAGATATCAAAAATAAGAAATAATATTCTACTCTAGGTTACCAATTCTTGCTGGACCCTGGAGACATAAACTATAAATTACAATCTCCATAATACTTGGGTTGTGATAAAAAAAAAATTCTGGCTTTGAAATCTCTAATCTCTAGGTCTGTCTGTTTACCACTTTGCACAGCACTCTGTTCTCAGGGCTGACAGGAGGGCACAGGGAGGGGCCGTACCTGGGGGTAGGCCCTGCTTTGGCTCTGAGTCCTGCTTACCTAACAGACATGCAAACAGAAAGGGCAATGCTGGGACTTTAAACCATTCTGGGAGAGGAGGCATCATCAGGAGGATAAAGGAGATTCAACCCCTGGCCACGAGGCCAGAGCATGGAAGCCAAGCAGCACTCTCAGATCCTCTCTGTTTTTGTACATGTTCAAAACAAACCATGAGAGTAAGTTTTTAAGTGGCTGGCCGAGCACAGTTTCAAACATGGTTTCCTGACCACACTGAGGGTTGGAGGCAAAGCTTTGGTGCAGGATCCTGGGTCTCCTATCTCTTGTAGCTGTTGACTCAGGACAGTGGTGGCAGCGCAGGGAGAAGCTGCTCTTCGACTTCGGGGTTCGGCTGAAGAGGCTAGGCCTTTATAAGGTTCCACAGATGATACATTTAGTATCATGAAAGCATGAAAGAAATAGAGGGAGACACCAATTAATGGAAAGATATCCCATGTTCATGGACTGGAAAATCTGGTATTGTTAAGATGTCAGAAAGTCATCTACAGAAATAATGCCATCCCTATCAAAATTCCAACGGCTTTTTTGTAGGAATAGAAAAATCCATCCAAAAGGTCATTTGGAATCTGAAAAGCCAAAACAATCTTGAGAAAGTATGGAGGACTCATACTTCCTGATTTCAAAACTTACTACAATACTACCGTAATTAAAACAGTGTGGTACGAGCACAGAGTAAACAAATAGACCAACAGAACAGAACTGAGAGGCCAGAGATAAACCCTCATGTCTATGATCAAATGATTTTTTAACAAGAGTGCCAGGACCACTCAATGGGAAAGAACGGTCTCTTTAATAAATGACAAACATTTCCACACGCAAAATAATAAAGTTGGACTCTTGACACACCACATACAAAATTAACTCAAAACGGCTCAAAGCCTTGACTTTCAGAACTAAAACTATAAAACTCCCAGAAGAAAACATAGGAGTAAATCTTCATGACCTTGAACTTGGCAATGGATTCTTAGATATGATACCAAAAGCATAGGCAACAAAAGGAAAAGAAATTCAATTTCATTAAAACTAAAAGCATCAAAGGACATTATCAAAAGAACCAAAGGGTAACCCATGGAATGGGAGAAAATATTTGCAAATCATCTATCTGATGAAGGTTTAATATCTTGAATACATAGTGGTGCCTGTGTGGCTCAGTCAGTTGAGCATCTGACTCTTGGTTTCAGCTCAGGTCATGGGATGGGGCCCTCCCTTCCCCACCCTCAGGCTCTGTGCTCAGCAGGGAGTCTGTTTTGTGATTCTCTCTCTCCCTCTGCCCCTCTTCCGGCTCCTGGGCCTGCACTCTCCCTCTCTCTCTCTCTCTCTCTCTCTCTCTCTCTCTCTCAAAAAACAAACAAACAAACAAAAAAGATCTTGAATATATAAAGAATTCCTACCTTGCAACAACACAACAAAAAGATAAACAACCTAATTAGAAAACGGGCACAGGACTTGAAGAAACATTTCTCCAAAGATCTACAAATGACCAATAAGCATATGGGAAGATGCCCAACATCATTAGTCATTATGGAAATGCAAATTGAAACCACCCGAAATACCACTTTATACCCATTAGGACGGCTATTTAAAAAAAAATTGTACATATTAAAGAACAAATGTTGATGAGGTTGTGGGAAAACCGGAACCCTTGTGCACTGCTGACAGCAATGTAAAACGGTGCAGCTGCTGTGGAAAACAGTTTGGTGGTTTCTCAAAAAGTTAAATATAGAATGACCATATGACCAGCAATTCCCACTCCTGGATGTGTCCTCAACAGCTGAAAGCAGAGACTTGAACGGAAACCAGTGCACCAGAGTTCACAGCAGCATTACTCACAACAGCCACAAGGCACAAACAGCCTGTCCCTCAGCAGATGGATACGATGTATCCATACAACAGATCACACTTAGTCACTCAGTCACTCAAGTGAACGGATTCAGGTTATGGCACAGATGCACCCTGGAAGACATTGTGCCATGTAAAAAAGAGGCACAAGAAGATTGATACCATATGATTCCACTTACAGGAAATATGTAGGGTAGGCAAATCCAGAGAAAGAAAGTAGAAGAGAAGCTGCTGGGGGCTGGCAGGGAGAATGGGGAACTAGTGCTGAATGGCTACAGTGTTTGTTTGGGGGATGAGAAAGTTCCGGAAATAGTGACAATGGTTACACGACACTGTGAACGTACTTAATGCCACTGAATTGTAACAATGAAATGGTTAAAATGACAAATCTTAATTTATGTGTTTGTTTGTTTTTTAATTTTGTTTTTAAGTAATCTCTGCTCCCAACCTAGGGTTCGAACTCACAACCCTGAGATGAAGAGTTGCACGCTCGAGACTGAGCTGGCCAGGTGCCCCTAACATAAGTGTGTTTTACTACAGGAAAAAGAACACAGTGGGAAACAAACAGAACAGGCAACCCTGTTTCTGGCCCTCCCTGTTCCACAAAAGGGAAAAGAGACACAGCATTCCCCATAAGGGAGCAGGATCCAGATAACCAATGGCTGCTCCCATCTCTGGGGGGGGGGGGGCCGGGGCGCTCAGGAGCCTGCCTCTGTGGGGTGCAGAGCAGGGGTGCAGCATGGACACCTAGGAGGGACACCTGCCTCCACACTCATGGTCCTTCTCGGAGGCGGCAGAGGGGCCTTCCTGTCTTGGCAGCTTCCTTCCCAGGCCTACGGCGTACGGCCGGCCTCCATCTCTTCACCGGCCTCCATCTCTTCACAGACCTCCTTCCCCACATGACAAAAGTAACAGCCCAGCCCACACCTTCCTTATCATAAGCCTGTTCTTCAGTATCCCCTGCA